GTAAACACTTCACCAAAAACTATCTCAAACAGCAGCAAACAATCCCCAAATATAGGAAAAATAAGAGCCCACCAGGCCCATAAATGTGCCACCCCCAAAGCAACCAATAAGAGCCATCAATACATATGAAATAGTAAAGGGAGGGGAACATACAACATGGGGAAACAATCAGCCAAGAAAATCTGCCTAGTAAACCTGCAGGAAACCAACAATCATCACAACTTTTGGAGCCAACATTACATAGGAAATAACAATATGAGGGGAACAGACAACATGGGGAAACAACAGCCAGTAAAATTTTCCTAGGAAACTAGCAGGAAACCGACATCCATCAACAATATTAGCTTTATGGGAAATGGACAACAGCTAAAACAACACACCAACACAGAAATCGAAGGGACAAAGTGAAAGAAAGGGAGAGATATTTCCAAGAGCAACAACATAATGATTGTCTACATCAATTCTTTAGCAGATCCTCTCTGATGTTCCTTAACTCCTTGTCTTGCGCACTTTCTTACTTAATAGCCCCTCAATCCAACATCATTGATATCGAAATGGCCATCTCCTAGATCTCCCCCCATGCATCTAAGCATGGCATTTGTTGCCTTATTTTTTAGCCTTGGCCTATACTGGATTTCAAAATCATATCCCAATAACTTGGACAGCCACCTCTGATTCTCTTCGGTCACCATCCTCGGCTCTAGAAAGTACTTCAAGCTCCTCTAGTTAGTCCTAACGTTGAAATTTCATCCCAGCAAGTACGACCACCACTTCTGAATAGCTAATACAATGGTCATATACTCCCTCTCATAGTCTGACTTCATCCTGGCTCTGTCTGTCAACACTTGGCTGAAGTAGGCTATGGGTCTGTGATTTTGCATGAGCACTGCCCCCAACCCATATTCTGAGGCATTTGTTTCTATCACAAACATTCTGTTGAAATCAGGTAGTGCAACATCGAAACTGTGGTCATGGCAGCCTTCAATCTCTCAAAGGCCTTATTAGCTGTCTCTCTCCATAAGAAGCTGTCTTTCTTCAAATGCTCTATCAGAGGCCGAGCAATGTTGTTATATCCTCTCATAAACCTCATGTAGTACCTTGTTAATCCTAGGAAACCCCCTTAGCTCCCTCAGGTTCCTAGGTAGAGGCCACTTCAATATTGCCTCAATCTTGGCCTTATCAGCGACCACTCTTTCTTGTGATACCACGTGCCTCAAGTAATCTACACTCTCCTGTGCAAAACAACTTTTCTTCAGATTGACTCCCAGTTGATGCTCCTGGAACACCTCCAAGGCTGCCCTAAGATGCTCCAAATGCTCCTCACTGGATTTTCTATGCACTAGGATGTCATCAAAGAAAACCAGAAAGAACTTCCTGAGGTAATGTCGGAACACCTTATTCATGAGGGGTTGAAAGGTTGTAGGCGCGTTGGTGAGACCAAATAGCATCACCAGGAATTGATAGTGTCCCTCATGTGTCCTGAAACCTGTCTTTGGGACATCTTCCTCTCTCATCCAGATATAATGTTATTCGAACTTCAGGTTCATCTTTGTGAATATTGTTGCTCCACAAAGCTCATATAGCATCTCATTTCATTGGGATAGGAAACTTGTCTGGTACAATCTCCTTATTCAGGACCTGGTAGTCCACACAAAAAACTCCCTCCCATCCTTCTTTTTAACTAGTAGAAATGGGCTAGAAAAAGGGCTCACGCTCCGCCTGATGATCCCCGCCTTCAATATCTCCCATATCAGCTTTTCAATTTCATCTTGGACTTGGGGTTATCGGTAAAGCCTGTCACTTATTAGTGATATCCCCTTCCTCAGTGTGATGGCATGCTCCTATCCTCTCTATGGCGGCAATCCCTGAGGTGATTGAAAAACCTCACAGAACTACTGTATTACTGACTATACTAAAATAGGGATGTCCCCTTCTTCCTCCCCTTTGATCTCCTCCAAGCTTTACAGTTCCACCAGAAATCCTCCTCTTGTATGGCTCTTACCATGATTTTAGTGACACCATGGCTTTGGATAGGCCTGTATCTCCCCTAATCACCATCCTCCTCCCTTCCACCATCGGCTCCATTGTTAGCATCCCCCAATTCACTTTGGTGTCCTTGAAGGGCTGCAGCCATCTCATCCTCATGATGACATCAGCGTCTCTTTGGAAAGATATTGTTTGGGTTATGGGAGCTAAGGTTGCAGGGGTACTCCGATAGGCCCCTCCCATTGTGTTACTTCTGATGGCTTTCTCTCTCTTATAGGCTCTATGCCAGCTCCATCGTCTCTCTCAGCCCCTTGGCCTCAGTACCCTGAGTTCATAAAACAATTTATAGAAATATGCATAACTAATTAAAAAAATTATCCAACAAATAAAAAAATCCACTAAATCTTGACCTTTCATTTCAGATAACTGCAAGATGCAAAACAATGCATGTATACCTAATAAAAGATGTTCCGTTGTATGCAAAATCCTTTCTATCACCTATTCACTTGACAAGGGACTTTCCTGTAAAATATTTTATCAATTAATGAGTGAGTTTTAATTTTCTTTGTACACTGTGATTGACTCTTGTATGAGTTTGATGATCATGTTGTGTCAATTGTTATACTTGCAAAAAAATACAATAATGTAAATGGTCTATAATATTGTTTGTCAAATGAATTTATTCTTTCACGCCATTGGTTAAGAAATGTCCCTTTAAAAGAAGAATTATAAGAAACAAACCGCCAACTCTAAAAATTATTATACAACTGTTTAGCTACAAATATCATACAACTACTCTCTTAATTGAGTTGCAATCCTCATGATTTAGTAGAATTATCAAAATGGTATCTTAGTTATATCCATTTTGGTCTCAGAATTTTCAATTTAGCTGCTCTGCTACCAAATCTGAATCAATTTAGTCATATGATCAAATTTGCCATTTATTTGGAGTGCAGTTGTTGGAGGAAAATTTTTTATGAGGTATTTTAGACTTCTTAGGATCATTATCAGTACTTAACACTTGCTTAAACTAATAAGGTTGACTCTAAAATTCCAAAATAACCTTCGCTAATTATTGTCCAAGTGAAAGGAAAATTTGATGATAAGATTAAATTGGTTCAGATTTGACGAGTTGAGGAGCTATATTGAACATTGAAAAAGTCTGAATCTAAAATTTATACAGCTGTAGGATCATTTTGACCTTTTACAAGTTTAGTTGATAACTTTTCTCTTCATCATAAACAATTTTTACCAATAAATTATAAGTGATGAAGTGGAAGTGGCGAGACCTGGTTTTGGAGATTGGTTATGTAGTTAAAAACAAGAGAGGGCATTGGATCGTTTGGTGTCTGGAATGATGGTTATTAGAAAAGCAAACTTGGTGCAGTAGAAGTGGTGGAGATGCATCAAATTCTCTTTGAGAACTATCATGAATTGGTCTTCCTTTGGGAGTTGAATGTTTTGTACCATTGCTAATTAAAATTTACCAATAATAGACTCTAAAGAAATGTAAGACGGAATCTTGGGAGTTAAGAGTCAATGTCAAGATAATATATGGGTGATGATTAGTGTTCACGAGTATGATGATGAAGTTTTTAAGGTTTTATTTTAATTCTGTCAAGCTTCGTGCTATACTCATCACTACTGCAACACTGGTACAAGATCAAACCAATTCATTAAGATGTTTTTTGACTAATAAATATTAGTTTTGTTAGATTTTATTCGTATTGTTCGTTTGTCTTCTAGGTTCAAATATAAAATTAAGCCCACAATCAAGATTTGTTGTGATTAATTTTCAAGTTTTATGTAAATGGTGTTATTTGCGTCATGGATATTTGAAAGGGTGTAGGTTTAGAGTTGGCGTTACCAGTTGAAACCTTAGGATGTATGCATTTTCTAGTTCCCTCGAGTGTATTTGAGGTTATCTTACCCTGAAGTTCATAAGTCTTCTTCCTGTAAGTGTTTCTTAGAGATGCCCTAACTGCATTTAAACGGGTCCCCTCATCATCCAGCATCTCTGAACTGACAAAAAACTAGCAAAATGAGTACCTTAACCTTTCTAATTAGTTTGTGCAAATGACTTTCACACTTCACCGAACAGAAGTATTTGAATTTGCAATTTTTTCATTGCAGAAAACACTGCATATTTGTTTCATTGATATTAGCAATTTTTTCCATATCAAGCTATCCTTTTGCAAGGTAGAGGAGGATTTTTGTAGGTTTAAAGGTTTTTTTAAATGACTTAAAGCATCCTATTAGCTTCACACTTTTGAGTTTTTTGAAAAACACGAAGGTATTTGCTGTCCTCACACTTTTTCTTAAACTTTTTCTGAAGACGGTTACATACTAAATTTCTATTCGATTAATCTATTCATCATCACAACACAACATAAGGATTAAAAGGTTTATATATAACTTTTGGCTCAATCAAACAAACCTCTGATAGGACCTAATCATATTGAACATGAAATGAAATGAAGTAAAATTAGACCTCATAATCAAACCTGGTCCTTATTCCAATGGGTTGCAGCACTAAATCGCTAAAATATTGATGAGCAGATCCAACATGTTGCAAACATTGGAATGGTATCACCTTCGAACACTGATAAAAATACAGAGAAAAAAATTGCTAGACAGTCTTGTGTTTAAGAATATCTGCTTTGAAATTTCCTAACTTGCTCACGGATGTAAATCATTTCATGCATTATAATTTTTAATTGGTTAATCATCATTTATTCAAATTTAATGACATTTGGATTTTAATTGTATGATGTATGTTCATGATGGAAGAGTATATCAGCCTCTTTGCAAAACTGGTGATTTATATTCTGCGTTCAACAATTTTTTAACAGTTCAGTATCAATTTTGTTAAGTCTGAAATTTTTCCAGTACAAATGAAATTATCGGGACAACCATTTATGTTCTAGCATCTTAACCATGTTATGTACTCATTTGTTGAATGCCTTATTTTCAGTGATAGAATGGGCTTTTCTAACATACTATTTTTTTGGCAGTGACACAAGGAAACTAATTGAAGAACTTGTGGCATTTGGAGGGTTTTCAGACGTTGGATTCTTGGAACGAACTTTATCCATGGAATTTGATCAATTGGAGCAATGGTAATTTAATATTCCTTTGATGTTCTAACGTGAAAAAAAAATTGCTTCAGTGTTTTCATGCATGTGAATCTGTTCTATATTGTTTGACTGAAATGATTGATGTGGTTCGGCAGGGACCTTCTGATGAAGAATAACTTTTTCCCTGAGTTCTTTTTTCACTTTTTCTAGCATAATCTTGAATTGAGAATCCCATTTAAGTTAGTTTTTCCTTCTTTCGTATTATGTCTACTTTACTTACAATTTTCTCCTGCTTCAATAAGAATATACCTTCTTTCCCGTTTATTGCTCATGTGCAAACATATTTCCAACTGCCATATAGATAAGTGATTTTGTTATTGTGTTTTTCCAGTACATATGGACAAGAACCAAAAGGAAAATTCTTTGGCAAAATTTTTCTAATCATTTTATTTCTTGCATTTCATGGAATATTCTGAATTTAAGGACAGGTTTCTAATCCTGATTATGAATATATATCACACTCCAGGGCATTTTTGAGAACGGCTACCATTGGATGCCAACTTTTTTTTAACTCTTGCAATTATATGCCAGTTGTGGGCTCCAAAAATTCGCACCCTGACCTCTCCGTCACCATTTCTTTTTTTGTCGACAAGGAGAGTTTTAACGAGTTTAGGTTCCGGGGTAAATTTTTAGAAGGCAAATTGGGTTTTAGATAAGACGCTACCCAGAGATTTCACCCTCATTTTGCGTGGACTTTATGGTTTCCTATTGGCGCAAGCCCCTATTGTTAATTACCCCTCCCGATAACAAGAGAGAACTTTCAATTAATACTAGTCGTTGAATAGATACGTAGTATCCAGTGTATAACAGCAACAAAATTAGATATTAAAAGTTAAAATTTATCACCGCACACTTAAAACGGATGGTGGTGGAATGATGATGAACCCAATCAAGATCCCATGGTTCCGTCGTTCCGGGCCATCATGATCCCTAGTCTACTTAGTCAAAGGAGATGGTCAACTCAACTTGATGGATCCTTGTTGGTAGCCATGAGTTATTTTGTACCAATGTATCTTATAGACTTGAGATGAATATTTGCATAAAGAGACATATTTAAGCCCACCTTAGCTAACAAAGGGCTTTGTGCCCTATCAATTATATTGTATTGATTTATTACGCAAGGATTTAGAGCCACTGAGGAACATACAAGCTCTGTCCGTGACCGTAATTTTGTTGTACCATTTGACAACAAAACCATCCGGTCAGAAGACCCCGGTCATAACCGTTTACCTGTGGTGCTATTTGGCGGCGAAATCACCTGTTAGAGGACACATGCCACGTCCTTACTGACAAGAGATAGTTTGAGAATGAATTGTAGTGATATTTTCGATCAGACATTCGCTTTTTGTGTGATAAAATGTATCATTAAGAGAGTATGTAAATATTATGAAAACTTTTATATAATTTTAATTAGATAATTAATAAGTCAATTTTGTATGGATCTAATTTATGAGGATATATATGTTGAAGGGAAGATTTTATTTTATTTTTGTACTATTTATTTAAAAAATTATTTAGAAAAATAATTATAATCAAATTAAATTCTAAGATTAATAGCAAATAATAGAAATAGTGCAATGCATGTTTGAGAAATTTCATTAAATGAATAATTTTAAAATAAGTTGATTAAAGATATTTTATTTTTCTACGATGGAAATGAGAGTATATTTAATTAATACGAGGAGAATAAATTTTATCAGTAATCTCATATAATTAAGAATATATGAGCAATATATAACTTAAATATTAACAAATAGATTTTTAATATAGGTGCAAAATTGATCAATGTGGGAAAGAGGAGAAATAGTAAAGTATTTCAATACCTAAGTTCAAGTTGAGTACTCATGTCTTTTACTTATAGTAATGATTTTATTCTCTCTTAAATTAAATTCATCGAAAGATAGTGATTTATGCTTATTAAGTTTATTGCAAGCTAGATTATGATTTGTCTTTCTTTTATCCAATGATTGATCATGTTGAATGATATGAAAATTAATATGTTATTATTTACACTTTTCATATAAAGTAAATGAATGATATATGAATGAAATAATTAAGATATATATGCTTATATGTGCATGTTGATTGATGGAGCACACCTCTTTATGGTACTGGCTGGGGACGCAATGTACTCATGCACGTAAATAAAAAAGGAGTACCTTCATTGGTACTATTTTTAAATAGTGGCTCCTATCACGATTGTATTATTTATGAGAAAAGATAAATATATAGATAAATATATGATATATGCATAACATGGAAAGTCTTGAAATGAAATGATTAAATAGATTTTTTTGTTTTGAAATAATCATGCATATTATTCATAATGCCTTGGGTTACTATAGTTTAGAAGCATTATTTACTCATTGAGTTCTTTTATGGCTCACTCCTACATTTATAATTAAACATGTATTATTCAAAGCTTAAAATGAGTAGAAGAGATGAAAATGTGTACCATAAGCGAAGTGCTATGTGTGAAATGTACTTTTATCTTTTATTTTAAATAATTTTGAGGATTTAATTACTCTTTCTATTTATAGGTGATAGCGTTAGCAAAGAAAAATTTAATCAACCGTCTGACTGTCTATTCTCGTCTCATTAATTCAAGCCTCCTAGTTGGGTTGTTACACGCGCAACATCCTAGGACGTCGCATGTGTATATATATCACGCTCGTCAGGTCCGATGCGGTGGTATGCTTTTGAGTGCATTTCGCATAATGTGTTCATATATCAAATATTCTATATGCATGTGACTTATTTGATGTGTATGATGTATCTGCATATTTGTATACACATAAGGGAATGCTAATATATCAAATAGTCTATATGCATGTGACTTATTTGATGTGTATGATGTACTGCATATTTGTATTCATATGCATTCATATGTGACGTGCAATGGGAATGCTAATATACCCCACTTATGGACTCTCAAATTGAACATTTGAGTCATTATTGCTAATGTTTAAGCTTAATAAATGGCTCAAGATATCGTCTTACCACCTACATCTTAGGAGTGTTGTTGAATGGATTGATGAAAATGTGGTTATATCATATTCCTCGAAGTCATACATAAGGTAAGTCAATGTGATGTGCAACTAAGGAGTTGAAGGAATCATTGAAAATGCTTCCTTTCCCTTCTACCTCAACTTCATCTTCGTCTCCACGATGAGAAGGGTGATAACTTGGAGGCACTAGTAGCTATGATCTTTGTACATAAGTGTAGACATCTTGTTGGTTTGAGATATAATTTTGTGTCTTCATAAATGTTGATTTAATGTACTGCAATGGATTTAATGTCTCTAGGAGTCGTGTTTTAAAAGGCATCTTTTGGGCTTTCCCCTGTTTGATGCTAGTTAAGATTACCCTTGGGCAACCAATTTTTTTCCTTTATTGGATTTAAGGTTTTTAAGAGTAGAGATAATACTATAAAAGGTTTTGCAAAGTATTTTCATCATCGGACTCATCAAGGAGGTAGAGATCATCTCTTTCATTAGTAGGCCCAAATGTCCTCTTGCCCTGTTCCTAAATGACAATATAAGAACTTGTTTTAGATGTATAGTAGATAATAAATAATTTAGGTGCATGGAGAATATTTTAGTGCTTAAGAGATTTATTCATAAAAATAACTCCTTAACCAGCCATGATTTTCATGGATTCATTGGTCACGATTATTATCTTGTTGATAGGATAAGGGATATATGAAATGAATTTGTTAGATTAATTGGTCATATGATAGGTAGCTTCTTAATTAATTATCCATAAGCTAAAAATGGTTGTCTCTGAGACATTAAAGGCATAAGAAGAGGAGGTAATATTTGATAATGCTAGAATACAAGAACTTGTTGTAGATGTTTTTTGGATGCTCCTAGCAAGTTTTTTTTGTTTTTGTTTTTGTACATTATAAATGGCTCAAGTTTCTTCACTTTAAAGAATATGTGGACTAGTTGTGACCATTATAAATACTTCTTTTCATTCAACTAGTATATTGAGTGGTTGTTTTGCAACTCTCATTGGATTATCTCTTAATTTCAAGAGAACCTGAAACCCAATGTATGCGACTATTGTTATTGTTGTTAATGCAGAGGGAAACTGTGGTTATGCTTATAGGAAATAATAGAAAAGGAAATAAATGTAGCAATATGGTGATGAGAGTGACAATAATAGTAAATATTTGTTGCAAGAAGGCAGTAATGGAGGTTGTGGGATTAGGCTGAGTGTATTTCATTTCGACATGGATAAAATTTATACAATTTAAGGAAGAATATATTAGGAACATTGTGGAATAAAAAAATAAAATTAATTGTAAAATAATTATAATAGTCCACGTAATGATGAGTAGATAGTAGGGATCCCACAGTGAATGAAGTGACAATGGGAGAAGGAAAGATGGTGGAAGTTTTGACTAGTATGGCTCCCAATCGGCAGAAATTATGCAGTCGTTTCACAATCATAAATATATGTACATGTGTATTCATTCATACATCCATATGCATTGTGATTACATCACTAGAAATTCAATTTTATCTAGGCTTTACTCAATTCACGTTGGGATTAGTTTGTTAATAAGCTCGATTAGAGTTTGATCGAAACAAAAAAATTGATCTCTTTTTTAGCTTAACATCACATCCCTAACCACAACAGCCCAAAAGGATCTTAAGATTATTATCATGGTTTTTTATTATTTTTTTGTAAGAATATTGTATGCTAACTGAATTATTAAAAATATATGTTAAACTTACCAAGCTAAATTGTGATCTCCTTAATTGTTGATTTATAAAGGAGTGATTTAAAGTTTGCACTTCATCATATTCATTAATTTTTGTTGGAGTTAACACATTTCATTGGGGTCATTGTTTAAAATTGCGCAATATGAGGCTCGCCTCAGCGCAATTCCAGTGAAAAATGCCTCAAAGCTTACGCGTCGAGTTTTTTTTATGAGGCTTACACCTCAACCTGGTTGAGGTCCGCCGTGAGGCGCC